ACTGTTAGGTCCTAAAGGCCCGACCGATAATGACGGTGACGCCGCTAAACTTCTGGCTGAGAAATACTCCCGGATATTTCAACCGTCCCACATCACCTATACTGATGACAGCTCTATCTGCAACTGCACAGGACTTTCCGTAGTGAACCTGAGCGCTGACTTGGTGTTCCGAAAACTGCAGCACCTAAAAACAGACACTTCTCCTGGTCCAGATATGGTCCATTCTGCTATACTGAGATAAGCAGTCCCAATCCTGGCAACACCACCTAGCGTGATGTTCTCACACTCTCTAAGCCGAGGCAAACTACCGGAAAATCGGAAGCTGGCTCACATCACACTAATCTTCAAAGGAGGTCGACGCAGAGAACCTTTAAGTTACCGACCGGTGGCTCTTCTCTCTGTACCTTCAAAAATCATGGTATACACGACTAACTGCTGTCCTTAAACTTCTTCTCACCCCAGCAGCATGGTTTCAGGAAGGGTTGATCCTGTATGACGAACCTGCTGACTGCAGTGGACAGATGGACAAGCATCGTTGATCGCAAAGGGAAGGTGGGCATTATTTACCTTGATTTCTCTAAAGCTTTTGATAGGGTTAACCACATATGTCTTACTAACAAGCTCAGACAATTGGGTATCAAACCACTTCTAATTGATCGACTTAGTTTATATATGAAAAACCGACACTTTAAGGTTAGAGTAAACTTCAATTTATCACAGGCTATGGAATGTCTCCCATGGCTCATTACTGGGAACTCTTCTCTTCTCGATTTATAGAAATGATATTCCTCAACAGGTTTCTTCTGACTTATTACTCTTTGCTGATGACTTGAAACTTTGAAGAGAGATACGCAACCAAGAGGACATGCTGGCACATCAGGAGGATCTGACTCGACTTCAAAGTTGGGCAGACGACAACGGATTAACTTTAACACTTCAAAGTGTAAAGTAGTCCAGCTGAGACATGTTGCAGGCCACAGTTACAACTTAAGAAACTCCTCTCAAGAAGTATAACAAGTTGAAAAAGATTTAGAAGTTCTGGTAACCTACTGTTTGACGTCTTAAGCCAACTGTAACAAAAATGCCTTTCGAGCAAACATTGCACTGGTAACATTGGAGCGCATTTCGGCCAGTTTGATGAGAAAACTTTCCATATAATGTTCAACGGTTTTATTCATCCCCATTTAGAGTACGGAAACGTAGTATTTCCTCTCTCACTTCAAGAGGACAAGGACACTCTGGAGTGTATCCAAAGGTGAGACACGAAATCAATTCGGGGACTCGAATTCAAGCCTTACGAAGAGCGCATTCAATTACTAAACCTTTACCCATTAGAGTATAGACGTCTTAGAGGTGACCTAATGACTTACAGTATCATTAACACCTCTGGACATCCCCTTAAACACCTACTTAAGTTTAGCTCGAACACAAACCTAAGGGATAACACCCATAAACTGGAGATACAACATAGCAGAAAGGACTGTAGACACAACTTCTACTCTTTAAGAGTTATCAAATGCTGGAATTTGCCGCCGGATGAGTTAGTCCAAGCGGCTTCCTAAGAGTTTTTTAAGAGGAGGTTTGAACTATTCCCAAGGATTTAAGATAGTATCTAACCATCATTTACCGATTTATTTTCCCTCTATTATCGTTAATATACCTAGGTTCCTGCCTTGAGGTATTGGTGATCCACTGATACTAGACACGGAAGCCCGTTGAGCGAAACCTTCTATTCCGTCTACAACCATTTGAACCATTTAAGTGATTCCTATGCAAATGATCATTCGTTTTAACAGTACGTATCTCCTACTTCTTCACCATAAATAATTTCAGAGCCAAACATTGGCTTCTTGTTGGTTAGAAAATAGTCCAAGGTCATTTACATATTGTGCTTCCAACACAGACATATCAAAACCAAATACTTTTCAGTAATCAGGGTGCTTTTTGTCAATAATTATAGAACTGATTGACTGACGTACCTCAAGGTCGCCCATGTGGTTGAATTGCCAACGTAATGTGAACTCTCTACTATAAGGAAAAAAGGTTTAAGTACTTTAATCGCCCGTTATAGGCGAGTTCAGGAAAACCCATCACTAACTTAGTCCTCATATATTGAACACTCGAGTGCGTTATCGTCCTTAAAAAGCCATAAGTTAGCAGCTTGGGTACAATGTACCCAAGCAATATTCCAAGTGATGTCTCATATAAGTAGGGTATAAAATCTGAAACAAAGCATTTGGAATTTCGGGAAGGTGATCATAACACTCGCAAACTTTGGAAGCTGGTACAATACATTCATCTCCGAACCCAAACTTTGGGACCATTCAACTAATATTAGTTGAATGGTCCCAAAGACGAATATTCGTCTAAATCAGCTCGTAGATTAACATGATCAGTATCACTATGTATTTTTCTCCAGACTCTGTCATCCGCAAGTAGATTTCGTTGACTGAAGTAGTCTTGATAGTTTCTTGATGCGAATAAGGGAAGATAGGGGACATGAAATAATACTTTCGAAGATACAACTTTTGACCGGTTTCCTTCCAGATAGCGTATCCTTTAGCCTCACTCACTGCATTTGGCCGCAGAGGGGCTTCTTGTACACTTCTGTACTTTATCTCATTCCAAAATTCGAGAGTTTCTATGTGCTTTATCATAATCTATAACTATCAAAACGACAGACGAACCACTATCTTGGGTTCCTACCAATCCACTTCCTCATTTATTGAGTTGTTGCTCAAAAGTTAATAAATGATGTGACTTTTTATGACTCGAATTATTTTTTCAAATGTTTTAACTATTAAGCTAATTAGGCTTTCCGGTCCGTAGTTGGACATGATTTCCCCGTCCATGACTATGCAGAAGGCTAACGATAAAATCCTTCCAATCACTATGATGTTAGTTCTGAGCAGGCAACATGTCAAATAGCTCCTTAAGTGGTCCGAAATCCCAAATACAGATACACATGAAAAACCCAACAAAAAGGACTACAAATGGATGAAAACGTTGGCACGAATGGTAGTAGGAGACATGCATATATTTTGTTATAAGCTTTTCTAAAAAATATCGCTTGATTGTAGTAAAACTACAATTTAAGGATAACTGAGAGTATTGTGTGTTACCCACTTGTTTTTCTGTTTAGGACTTTGGATCACTCTGTGTAATTGTTGCATCTGAATGCGCTATTTTTCATTCCAGATTAAATAGCTTTCGACAAAACACCCTTAAAATGGTGAAAAAATGGTAATAGAAATGATATTTCGAAAATACTGGGAGTAACTGAAAAAGTTGATAACTGAATGAACTCCAGTTTTATTATGGATGTGTTGGTGATAGATATTTACTGACTACCTACACCATGCAAGATTATTTATTCAATAAGAACTAATAGGAAAAATTCGGAATAATCCTGGTGTTCTCATGGTTCTAAGGTTATAGAAATAAAGAGCACGAGACACCTTTTAAGAACACTTCTTCAGTTCTGTAGGGTTCACCTATTTTTGAAACTTGCACCTAAAATCCATGGAGCAAAGAGATTAGGCAAGTATCAAGGCTGACCTTTTCGAATCCGTCCTTCTAGATGTGGATCGAAGCCATTATCGTTGTTTATAAGAAAGAGCGTAGTAAGACTTCAGATCTGAGTACAGATGAAATGATATGGAAGCAGATGTTTACTTTTAATGCAGTTTGTATATAGAACAAATCAGTGAGTCTTTGTTCCTATTCCCTTCCCAAGTACTTTGGAAAATTCACTTACTGATTCACCGAATAATAAACATCCTGGATACTAAAGTAAATCACTTCTTTTTGAATTCCGCTCATCATTGTCTCATAACAGTATTTCGTCGTTTCTCAGCAAAGTCGTTTAAAAAGATTTTTAGTACGGTAATTGGTCATCTATAAAATTATTTAAGGCTTTATAAAGTGTGCTAAGGAATACTTACTTACTTACTTACTTTACTTACGCCTGTTACTCCTCGTGAAGGAGCATAGGCCAACCACCAGCATTCTCCATCCAACCCTGTCCCGGGCAATCCTTTCAAGCTCTTTCCAGTTCTTATTCATCTTTTTCATATCTGCTTCTATTTCCCGACGTAATGTGTTCTTTGGCCTTCCTCTTTTCCGCTTCCCTTCAGGATTCCAAGTTAGCGCTTGTCTCGTAATGCAGTTTGATAATTTCCTCGATGTATGCCCTATCCATTTCCATCGTCTTTTTCTAATTTCCTCTTCAGCTGGAAGCTGGTTGGTTCTCTCCCACAAAAGGCTGTTGCTGATGGTATCCGGCCAATGGATGTTGAGTATCATGCGTAGACAGCTATTAATAAATACCTGTACCTTCTTGATGGTGGTTGTTGTAGTTCTCCAAGTTTCAGCTCCGTACAGTAGAACTGCCTTGACGTTCGTATTGAAGATTCTGACTTTGATATTGGTTGAAAGTTGTTTTGAGTTCCATATGTTCTTCAGTTGAAGGAATGCCGCTCTAGCTTTGCCAATCCTCGCCTTGACGTCTGCATCTGAACCTCCTTGTTTATCGACGATGCTTCCCAGGTATGTGAAGGATTCCACGTCTTCCAGAGTTTCGCCATCAAGAGTGATTGGATTGCTGTTCTCCGTGTTGTGTTTGAGGACCTTAGTTTTCCCCTTGTGTATGTTGAGGCCTACTGATGCAGAGACTGCTGCTATGCTGGCTGTCTTTATCTGCATTTGTTCGTGTGGTGCTAAGGAATATACTGAATAATTCCATGTATTTGAAGTTTTTGCAACATTAAGATGAAAAAAAGCACTCATAAGTCTTAAGAAATTCATAGGCTATGCTGAACCACTATTCATTTTGGTTCTATTAATTTTCTGACAAAAGGTTTCTGAATTACCCTAACTGTTTTTTCATAAACTGAAGTCTATCATTAAAGCCTCATGCTCGACAACATAGTTTTATAACTTGCATGCTTTTAGTCCGTCTGGTTGAAACGCTAATATTCCACTGATATGGTGGAGGAAATTCGTAGTTCAGGTGGATAGTCAAAATATTCCATTCATTTTTCCTTTTTTTTATTTAATAATTGTATTCGTTTTATAGCATCATGAGTGCAACTGTTAAAAGACCGTTTGGGTTATTGATCTTATTGTTTTGGAGTTACTTCTTCACTTCGCTAGCTCGGAGAACCATACAGAATATATATCCTATAATTCCAGTAGAATATAAAGGAACTAAATCAAATACTCATTTAGGTAAGGCATGTAAATTATTCTTGATACTGCGTAGGTAAAATTTTGGTTGTATAACTACTTAACTTCTAGCCTGTAAATTGTGGGTCACATGTTCTGTGTTATTCTGTAGCGTCGTTTTTATTATAAAGTGATTGTAATCCAACACAGTTCCGTTAAATCTCTTGTCAGTTTCTTTTAAGTTTCATTTAGAGCCGTCGTTCATACATTCATAAATAATGCATAAGCAGTGGTGTTTACGCTTATCATCCTTTTGGATATGATCTATTGTTTTTAGGATAAGATACTTATTACTAAATATTAAAACTTTGTGCTCGTTTTCGTTTAAAAGTTGTTATAAATATCCAGTATCTGATCATTTTGTGCACAGTACCTCTGAGATAAGTTGTATATTACTTCCTTAATCTTGTTCCAGGTTCCATAATTACTGCTCAAACATTGGGTTACACAGTTACCAAATTAATTGGTGGGATTCTTATGGATCACTTAAATCCACTTCGAATTTTTGTTTACTCTCTGATTTCAGCCTCAGGTTCACTGTTTCTTCTATCAGGTAAGTGAATATTTTTCTCGCTTGAAACATATTTTTTGATCTCCCGTCGTTTCAAAGTTTATTATTTATAAGTAAATAAATGGAAAATATGGAAAATTCCTTTTGTATTGTATTTAACGAATATAATTAAATTTATAAAAAGTAGAAATAAATTCTGTCATGTTAATGAGTACACCCGATGTTAATTTTCTTTAGTTTCATCTCATCATATAGTTTGGTTAGTATCCTATGGGTTAACCGGTTTGGCACTTGGTTCTACTTGGCCAGCCATATCAAAGACACTTCGTACAGTAAGTTGACACAAAATCTGTAATTCTATTTATATTATATTTATACATGACAGTTTTTGAAATGGTTTAGTCATAATTTCCTGTGAATATTTTTTTTCTAAAATTCCAAATAAATATGAAAACTAGGTCATTTTTATAAGAAAGATTAATTCAAGTAATGAAATCCATGTAGAAGAAATAATGTGTTAATTTATACTACAGTTTTGTTTTTTTAAAGTACCGTTTATTTTGAGAAGATTTCTCCATACTTACGAGCTATTTTCTCTTCCTAATTGGTATAGAATATTATTCACACTAAACTCTTAATAGTAAGCGGACATTAATTCAAGCTAGTGGAACAAATGCTACCATATATATATATATATATATATATATATATATATATATATATACGCATCATTTTGTGAATGTGCATGAAGCTGCGGTTCTTTTGTTAAGTAGCCCAAGGGCTAAACATTAAGTCATAAGTATGAATCATATCTCATCAATCGAGATAATAGTAGCCCAAGAGGATTACTGTAGTTTAACTAATTTAGCTTGTGGAGCCGTATGTACTTGACTCTGAGCCACGGTTTACGTAAGTGCTAATGATACTACTTCATTTCCTAAAATGTAGTAGACAGATTTGAATTCAAACTCGGGACTCAATGATTGAAAGCAGAATGTTTGAATCACCGCTAATGCAAAGAGCATCATTAAACTTTAGCCACTAAATATCATTTATGAGATATTTTTTGCATTATAATGGCCTTTCAGTTAGATTTGTATGTATTTAACTTACTTTTCTAATATCTCTTTTTAGTCCGTATCTTCGTTTTTAAATTATCGGTGAATTTACTTGGTTTCGTAGCGAAACGACACCGATGAAAATAATCTCTTAATTATTAAAAGAAATAAATATTTGATCAACAGTAACCTATTGTCTTACAGTTATTTAACTTGAAGTATTATCAATTACGTAAATTCCTAGTCCTAGTTTAAAGGACATATAATTTTGTTTCTTAAAGTCTACTTAAATTATTTTTAGTCTGTGGCTTCTCATGAATTAGCCACTTGGTGGGGATTAATATCATCGTCTTCTAACCTAGCTGGTTGCATGGGTTCTTGGATATCTATCGTTATTTCTTCATATGCAACAACATTTCTCGGTGATTTAGCATGGAGAGCTCCGTTCATTTTTGTTGGTAAGTACATACCTCTTTACTGACCAGTGAATTCATTTTATATTGTGCTTATCATCAACTGTTACCCCCTATTTGAAGGCAACTTTTTGACCTTGTATGTCATTGTATTTAGTGCCTAATTAAAAAACAACTATCCCTAAAATTTATTACCATTCTTCCTATAGGAAAATTAATCTGACTTTAGCATCAGTCACACATAATTTGTATTATTTCTTAACTACATTGACTTCATATTATCTGAAACGAACTCCTAGCAACGTTATCATTTATCCTAAACAACGTTGATAAATACATAAGTTTAAATATTTCAAGGAATAAAAGATCATTCAACTTTATTTCAAACTCATCTACTGATGCGTGATACAATAGCTGAATAATTCTAAAATCACATTTTTAAGTGATTTTTTTTATCAGTATCATAAACCAAACAATACATTCATTCGGTGGTTTCGTTTGTATAATCCAGTTTTACATAAAATCTAGATTCGTCATTGTTTTCTATTATAATTTAAATCTTCAATATTTTTACCTAGCTGGTATTGCTATTAAATGTAGACAAATCCCGATATATTAGCTACATAGTTGTTGCAGCTAATTGTCAAACCTTTTTTGATTTTTTCTGATATCTTTTATTTAAATCAACAAATGTGTTAACCTCAGCATATTTATAATTGCACTTTTGTAAACATGAAATTCAAATTTGAAGTAATTTTTTCTATTGATGTAAATCGTATTTTACACATCCCACGTAACATAGGAATCCTAATGCAGTAAATTCTTAATTGTTTCCTACATTGCTGTGAACCCCATATTTTACTGGGGAAGGGGGTTGAAATAAGCTGAATAAAGTTTAAACTTTAGTCCCATTGGTTGTGAGCTGAGTGGTTTGATGATTTTTCCACCAGCTAACCTAGTAAGACACATTAAAAAAAAAAATGAAATGTGTACAAATTATCATTATTAATTCTATTGTCATTAATCATAACCTGCTCAATCAGTGTTATGGGAAGTACATGATCAATGAAGTCACTTTGTGATTTCAATCAGAATTATGATAACATGCACGACCACCAGACATAAAAAATATGTTTTCTCAAATAGTAGTATATCAATTGAAGCTACAACACTTTTCACTAATCGAAACCAGAAAAGCTTAATCGAAATGAAAAAGTATGAGAATAATCCAGTTCTTCACTATGTTTAGATCACCAACCAGAAACTTCATGAATAACTGTTACCTCCTGATCTGGTTAATCTGAAATATGCTAATTATTGAATTTCAAAGCATCTGGTAGTCAGCGATGTGTCCTTCAAAACACTTGAATTTTTTCGAGTTTCAATTTCATCCAAAATTAAAAGTATATGGTGTTCAGCATGAAATATAATCAAAGTCAATTGTTTATTTTATTTAACTAATTCTAAACTGATATCGGTTTTTTGGAAGTTACCATCAAATCAATGAAATTCTTGAATTTACTATCACTAGTAACTTTCAAAGTCTACTAACAAAATATAAATTTCTCTATGTAATAATAATGCTTGATATCTTTGTTATATGTTAAAATCTATTTGAAATTTATGAATTCGTTTAATTTTACAGGAGCATGTTGCATAATATCAGCTTTACTTCTCAGTGTTTATCTGCGTTCGCGAACCATGGATACTCTAAATAAAATTGATTCTAAGACTATACCAACTAAATATTTTGGTCCTTCTAAAATAACATTATCTAACCAATTATTGGGGAAGCATCTCAACTCAGATGTAAAACACAGAAGCTGTGATGATACTTGTCAAAGTCTAATATCCACTTCAAAATTGGGTCAAAACAGTTATGATACAAGTAATCAAGAAAAACGTTGTAACGAAAGTAAGTTCATGTCATTACTTTAATTAGTCCAATGAAATTCCTCTTAAATTTTCTGTTATAATAAAAAAGACTTGATCATAGAAATTTCGTGTAAGTTATAAATAGTTGTTCGTTTGGAATTCACTAATTTACAAATAGCGATCTTAATTTTTGTGAGTACGGATTAGAAAATCTTTTGTAAAAATCACAAAATTTTCACTTGTTATTTTGTGTATCGGAAACCTTAACTTATTGATAAGGTGCAACTTTGTGAATCAAGAGAGTTTTAGGATACTAAACCATGTTACTTTGTCAGTAGTATTGAAGTGCTTGATTTTTAGTATAAATCTATGACTTGATGATTAATAAGCATTTATTCCGTTTACTTTAAAGTTCTGGTGTAACATTTTAACCACTCTAAAGTAGATGAAACTATTATATACATCAAATGAATACGTTTATTACTATCATTAACTAGTTCTGAATACTTTTCATATTTGCGTTAGCCTAGTGTTCTTTAGTGTTTTATAATTACTCCAGAAAGTTATTGAGATATTGTGTTAACAGAGCTAAGAAACTTTATGCTTCCAATAAATAATTAGATTGGATTTGATATCCGAATAGCATGGGAATAAGGAGACTTATAGGGTTAAATTTAACCTCATAAGATATGAATTATTGTGGTGAGGTCAAAATTAATTGTATTTAGTCTTATTCACATCCATTCCGGATATAATTTGATATCTCATAATTTAGTGGAAATAAATACGTTCCTCATAATACATGACTTGTTGGCCTAACCACCGCCTACCTGGACGGGAAATTTTTAATGGTGTAGAAGAGGACTGGAAGAAAGGTGAGAATGCTCAAAACAAGACATAGCATTAGTCAACAAAGTTATTGACTGTTCATCTGTTGATAGTGTAGTAAAGGAAAACAAAGGCGGGAACAACCAAATGTATTTGGACACGCAATTACAGAATCGCAATAAAAATCTGAGAACCATGCAGTAAATACTTCATTTGCAAAGTTTTAATCAATTACCTCAGACTTGATTGTTCCTTCGTTTTCACACCAATTCTTCTCTGTTCTCGTTCTATTCTCGATCTTCTTAATCTTCTGCCACCAAGTATTCCTCTTTCAATTGGTGATACATACAACTTATATCTGTCGAGATCAGTAGCACACACTACCATAGATGCAGACTACCTATTTGGCATCCACGCGTTAAGCGCTATCAGTGGTGGGAGACTTATGGTGACAGTTCAGAATTTCCCACAATGGTGCAGATGCATTCCTTACATTTCTCTCGATTTTGAACTCCAGTATCCCCCTATACGTGTCTGTCCTCTCTGTCCATTTGAACCATATTCTCAATATTCAGTCTTTCTTGTTATCATTACTACTTTATAATTCAATCCATTGATGTCGCTCTTGTTATTTTCATCTCGTCGTCTCAACGGGGTGTAGCAACTTGGGTCAAAGTGCATCTTTGCCAGGCTCTGTTGTGATAATGACTGACTAAGAAACGCTTAAAAAATCAAAGCATATATATGCATTAAGCTAATTCCTATGATTACCTCTTAAAATCCACTTGCATTAATCTAACACAAAATTTTTTGATTTCTTTATTGTCCAACTCAGTAACCCAGTACAATTTCTTGTGGTCACTTTTAATCCACATGTTTTGGCCCGACAACCAACCAAATAGATAGGTATTTGAACCTAAAATTTAGTGATTGAAAATCAATTTCCTTACTTGGAGCAGTGGCTTGGTGGTCCACCCACTTAATCACGGGTTCAAACCCATTTCAATCTGACTCGAGTTGGTTAACCAAGGAGTATCAATACTCACGTCTGTTTTTTTTCTAGAAACGAGCAATTATTAGTAGGTTGACAATAGAACCGTAACTTCATGCTTTCGGGAACCAGTTGACTAACTAGTGGTTACAATACACTTGACTGCCAAATGTGACCTTTTCATGTTTAAATTTTGCCTTATGTAGTTTGGCCTAGCAACCAGATCATATCACAAATCCTCACATAAGAAAGTATAACTTGATACTACGTACACCAGTTTATACTTATTGAGCCGTCTAAAAACTTCCATAGTTAAATACTGAGCCAGTAAATCATATTTTGAAAGTTCTTTGACAATCACAGTAAGTTGATTATCTCACGTGTTTCAAATTATCAACATCCTGTTTTTTACATTTTAGAAACTAACCGATTATCTAACAACTGTCAAGATAAAGATTTTACTGAAAATCACGATAATGGTGTGAAAGTTCAACCCATTAAAGTGAATATTGTTAATCAAGTATCAAAATTGTTTCGTATTTTAAGCCCAAGACAACGTTTATTGTTGGGTACATCTGCTAGTGTTCACATGTGCAGTACATTTTTACGTTATGCAATAGGCGATTGGATTGCAATTATGCTTTTAAGTAATAAACATGGTTACTCACAAAATACCGGTTTGTACATATTTGATTTTTGTTGTTGTTTCATTCATCAGTTATGTTACGTTCCTAAAATAAACTTTTTAAACTTAGATTAATTTTATACGAATATTCGTCAAAATTAGAACGAATAGTTTGACAGAAATTGGGCACCGGGTATAGAGAAGTCATTATATGTGAAAATTATATTTGAAATAATCTCAGCGATTGAAATTTAAATTTGACTGATTGGTCAGAAATGAATGTGTTATAAATTAGACTAGATATCACTGTTGTAGCATGATCCTTGCTACAGAAGAGTGACCTCATTTAATGAGTACCTGCAACTACTCTTCAACACTGTTCCCCTAATACTCATGACTTTCCTCAACCATTAAGAAGGCAATACCTAACCTGTGAAGTATATATATATTAAAGAATAAATATCACTCCTTATTTGCTGTTTTTCTTTCCGATAGTTATTGATTACACTTACGCATTTATGACCTAAAACCGAGTGAACTACATAACAAAAGTTATCAGAATACAATCGAATGTCTTATTAAGATAGTAACTGAATTTATCTAGGTTTAATCAACAGTCTTACTCGTTATCTCTTCTCATAAATTAGTGTGAGCATGTCAAACTCCCAGGAGGGCCCAGTCTCTTTGTTCATGGCTCAGTAGTAATGTTGTGTCTATGATATTGACCTGTTACTGTGGTTTAAATCTAACAGCGAGTGTAGATTTGTTCAATGTCCAACTGCAAACCTTGGTAGTATTTCAGTTCAATTTTAGAACTAGAAACGTAATTAATTTTTAGCTATTCCTATAAAGTGAAATAACAAGAAATTACTGATTTGAAACAAAAAATAATAAAGCTATCTGGATACAAAAAAAGATAATGGTAAACTGTCATATATGTATAGTAGATCATAGTTCGAGACTAACCCAGCAACATTTTTACAATCAATAGCTATTTGGATTGTGATTTATAATTAGCAATCAGTGCATTTTCTTTCCTCATTAAACTTTATCAAAATCTCCTAACGCAATTTAACGTTAGAAACCCATGGACTGTATTCACTGTGTTCGGTTATGTTTTGGAATATATCTAGATGCTATATACTTGAGTTATAGTTTCGTGGTATAGACATTGAATTTACAATTGTTATGTCATATTCTCAATCCATCTAATTGATCCTCTAAATCCTCTCGTTTCCATACAAGAGTGATAATGCACTGTCTAGTATCATGAACCTATACTTAATTTTAATGTTGTATATCCGGTTGACTGTGTTAACCAAAACCAAACTTTTATAAAGTTCTAAAACAAAGCACATAAGTTTGCAATTCATCAAATACTGTTACTAAATTATAAAGTGAATATATTTTGGATGATGTTTAGTTTGCGCATTTAATGAAAGTGATTAATATAAATTTCATTTGAAAAAGTCGTGTATTAGTTCAAAAATTTCTACCACTGTCTTTCTTTTCCCCAAAAAAAACTTATTTTCACCTATTCGTTTCAGCTTATTTAGTTGCCAGTAGTTACGAATTAGGTGGAATATTTGGGTCTATGTTAGTTGGAATAGTAGCTGATTTGAATATGTTTTCTGTAAGTTACAATCAGATTGTTTGCTTGGTGTATAGATGGATATTGTTTTCATTATTCTGGCCCATGCTTTTTATGATTATTGTTTATTAAGACAATTAAGTTAGGATATATTTAATAGTAAGACGGTTCACAGTCGGATGTTTTCTAATCTTAAGTGTTTGTTTGAGTTATGTAATAACTGTATTTTCAATTTTATCGGGCTTTCCATCAATTGATAGAGACTCATTTTATTGTTGGTTGCAGGTTAAATAACGGTGACCACCTACCACAAATTTGTGCAGACTACAACCTGTTTCCGGTTAGCACTACCTACTCGCACAGTCATCGCCCATGTGCAACCTGACGTCCTCCTTCTGCATCTCAAACCTGGACTCAGATTGATCACATCGCGATCAGCTACCACTGGCGTGGTTGTGAACACGACTGCCGCTCCTTGTGGAGTATCTATCTGTTTCCTCATCATGCCCTTGCTTACGACAATCTTATCTTACGTTTTAATGGCTAACAAATTCATCGTCCCAAACGGATCGATATCAGCAAATTGGTTGCAGCTCCTGTTGCAAATAAATGTCAAAGCGAACTAGGTTCAAGGCAAGCTACCATTCACCAAAAAGTATGGATGAGCATTGATTGCACTTTCATGACGCCATGAAAATGGCGAGTAAAGTTGCATGCGGCTCCGCGAAATGTCCCACTTATAGGCACAGGGTCTATACAGGATCCTTACAAATCATTGAAGCACGTCAGTCTACTTCTGGTGGCTGTGAGTTTGATCATAAACGTGGACTGTCACGTGATGAGACCGTGCAAAGCTTGCGTAGGAACCGAGAAGCCTGGTGGTCGGAGCGTGCCACTGAGTTGAAAACAGCACTTGCATCCAGTAACTGGCCTGTGACGACTGATCCACCTAACGAGGCGGAAGTCTGCAAGGAACTCCGACTCTTGAAGCGCTACAATTCACCAGGCTCAGATGACTTAGCTTCGGCTCTTTGTAAAGATGATGGTGACTTTCCGGTTAGGGAAATCACAGAATGAGTCGATAGTTGTTACTATCCTTAAAAAGGGTTCATGTCGTTTCTGTAACAACTGTTGGTGGATACGTGCACTTTTGATTGCGTCCAAAATATTGGATTCCGTCATACTTTGTAGATTGTTTAAAATCCAAGAAAGATTGTCTCGAGAGGTGCAGCCTGGTTTTCGTTCTGGTCGAGGATGTATTGATCATATCTTCACCCTCCACAAATGTTTAAACACCATCATACTTATCACAGGTCAACAATCGTCGTGTTTCTTGACATTACTGGCAGGATCATAATCCTGCACTCACCCTAGGTAGTGAGTGGATACAAGTAGTCGAGAAGTTCGTGTATCTGCGTAGCTGCGTAAGTGCTGGTGATAGTATGAATGATGAGATCAATTCACGTATATTGAAAGCCAGAGAGGTTTATGCTAATCTGGGCCATCTTTGGCGCCTTCGTGATGTTAATCTGGCTGTAAAAGGTCGGATCTACAACGCGTCCGTGGGAGCAGTTTTGCTCTATGCTTGTGAAACCCTGGCCTCTCCGAGTTGAGGATATTAGACGACTCTGTGTGTTTGATCATCGTTGTCTCTGAGAGATTGCTGACATCCAGTGGCAGCACCATGTTAGTAATGCAGAGGTTCGATATCGTATGTCCGGGCACAGTGGAGATAATTCAATTATTATCACTATCTTGAAACATCGACTTCGGTGGCTTGGACATGTATTTTATGAAAGTTGTCCCAGAGAATTCCACGTCACGCATTATTTGCTGACGCTAGGATCGGTTGGAAAAAGCGGGTAGGTAGTCGGTTTATAATGTGGTGTTGTCGTATGGAAGAAAGGCCTATAGGATTGACTTCTGTTAGTTCACGACTCCCTGACTGGGGTCCGAGAGATGATGCAACACAGTGGCTAGAGATGTTATCGTATATGATTCAGAATAGAAGCCTGTGTCGATCCTGCTGTTACATTCTTTTTTTTTCATTAAAAATGAATGTATCTTCTTTAACTGAAATAATCCTTCCTGGTTGTACTTTTGCTAACTGAACTGCCTCTTCCATTATTATTATTTCACTAATTTCTGTTGGTTGTTTTTGCTTTATTATGCGCACTTTACATTCTCCATCTCTTCACAGCCTCATTGTTAATGTTTCGCGCCGCTTTGTACCAATATTTATGTGTTCAAATAGATAAGAAGAAGCAAATAAATTTGGCAGATATATTATATGTGGATATTCAAAGAGGGACTAATCTCGTTTTTTCAAACGGATTAACCTTAATAGTTGAGATCATGAATCAATTGAAGCTAGACCACCATGGAAAACGTAGAAGCACTGGACAGCCGTTTCGTCCTATTTTAGGCATAAATATTGAAAAAAATTTACCAAAACTAATGACCGACAGCTTATTCTAAAACTAGTTAATTTGATATAGATCACTTCAATGCTGAGAAATACGATTGAAAATATTTTGAAAGTGTATAGGTTGTGAGGATATAAGTATAGGTGTCTTTCAAGTATTGGTTGAATGTGGTGGAACCACTAAATGCGTGTTATTGAGATTAAATTCAGGGTATTATAAGCACATTTTGTAAACTGATAAATCGAATTGTGAAGCTTCAAGGAATGAAGTGATTGAGATGTATGTCGTATACGTAGTCCCTATGGTCTATTTCGGCACTATGTTATCTAGAGAAGGGATAGATTGAAAAAAAGGCTATAGTCGACCAGACCGAAATATGACCAACTGAGGAAGTCATTGACTGTTGGTATGAGTTGTGTAGAAAAGTGCAGGCTTTCTAGTTGACGTCTAACGAGACAACTATAGCTAGTAGTTGGAAACTTTAAGAGACACCAGTTCACAATCAGATAGATACTTCAGTTTCCTCTAAATTCCGAATTTCGATATTATTTTGGCTTTATTAGTTTCTTTTGAAGCGTATTTCACTGTACAATTCTAGGAAAGAAACTAAAAAAACAATTTAAATATTCAGCCACCCCTTACAAACTAATGTATTACTCTCTGTCCTCCTACCAGTTTTATTGATATTGTATGCTTGATTAACGGTTTATATTGAATCGATTTGATTTTAATAAAAACGAAGTAAGGTTAATCCTTATCAGAAGGGGTTTTGTGGAGATTGTAGTAATTTCAATAGTTGAGATAAGTCAATGGAAACTAGGCCAAAATGGAAAACCTGGAAGCACTGGACGGTCGTTTCGCCCCATTGCGGGACTCCTCAGCAGTGCGCATCCACGACCCCGCCTCACTGGATTTAAACTCAGAACCTATCAGTCTCGCGCGCAAGCGCTTTACCACTGGGCCGGCATCCAACTGTGTTAATGTCTAACTTCAACTAATCCACGAGATTGAGCGACACATCCATCATTGTCATCAGTGAGTCGTTATCTCGCAATTGACCCGGTTGAACTCCACTGGTCACTGCTTCTCACTAGAACTTCAGGATATATATCTAGTGGTTAAGCGCTTGCGCGCGAGACCAAAAGAAAACTTTCTTCGTTGAATCTTCTTTATTTTTAGTCAGTGAAATTAAGTTGTTTTGTTTCATTTATTCCTCACTATAGTAAAAAGCTATGTACAATATTAACATGAATTATAAAACAATTAGGACCAGTAGAAGCTGTTGCATAAGATCTCTTTAAAAAAATTTCCCTACTCTTATAACTTCTGCTCTTATCTGAACCCAAATAATATCTCGACTAAGCCACATACTTGCTTTAATTTCTGATTGTTCTTGATAAACCAACTCAGTAACATGATATTTACAACCTCATCGAGGACTTTTATATGCAGCAACGTGTGCTCATCTGATACACAGGTATCTTTTATTAAATGACTTGACGTCATAAATTGATTGTTTTTCAGCTGACATGTTGTTTCAATGACAACATCCACTGGAATGGTTTATGTAAAATATTTCCAAGTCATTGGATCTATTTACTAAAGAACTACCTCTATCTTTCTTAAATGCATTTCGGTTGACTTAAGCAATGACTAGTGGCCACATTGCAACTTGGTCGATAACATTCGATCTGCAGTTAGAAGGACTTGACACACATGACATTGATCACCACCCAGTAGTCAATCAATTGTGAACAAGCATTACTTTCATAGTGTTATCATCAAATGAAAATCAGTATCTGTTGCATATATTAAAGGAGAAATTCAAGACCCCAGAATTTTTTGACACTTTATCCCAACCAAGCTAAGTTAAATTGTGGTGTGTGAATATAGCCTCAAAAAAAGTAAAGTTATCCAAAGTCAGTACTTTCTGTCTCAAGCATATTGTTTCACATTATTATTCACATTTTTGCTTCCTCTAGAGGTGTGACTTAATACAATAATTCTTTCTGATCACTAGTCTGTGATTGTGACCGTAAATACTGTAATACATCTCAATATAAATCAGATTTTATAAAACGGGATACTGGTTTCTCATAACAGTTCTCCTTTATAAGCAAAATAGTTGGCAACTGTTAGAGTTATACCTGTTGAATTATCTTGGGAAACCTTAAATATAGTCGACTCCCTTGTTCAGTTAGTTATTCCTGTACTCTGTACATATGCGCATACCATCAATACAAAATATTGAGACATTTCAAAATAATATTCGTTAGTTCCTAACTAACAATCTATACTTTCTGTCATAAGTGTTTTACGTTGTAATCAATGTCTAAATATGGATTGGATTTTGGTTATAGACAATTTTTTCCCTGTAACATTTATATAAGTGCTCACTATAGCTTTGTTATGTCATGTGCATTTGTTCATCCTACACTATCACATGATTACAAATAAAATGATGTGAAAAGTCACCATTCTCTCGATACTATATATACCATATATTTTCAACTTGGCTTAATCAGTTTTTCTGTCTTTATTGGCTAGAATAGGCTGAAAATTTTAAAAGGTATTTAAGACTTCTCTTTTGCCCCACTAACTAATTATGAGCCCTTTTAAGCTTATAATTTGATCTCATCAGTCCTGGTTAGGCATACTAAACTTTGTCAAATGAATCAATAATTAATGACTTAACGAATTATTTTCATACCTAGCATAATCACACTTCTTCCAGCATCACATGTCGTACAAAATGATGACATCATGTTTTTCACATTACCACATAAAATTAACAACTGCTGGGGAGTCCCACATTAGGACGAAACGGTCGTCCAGTGCTTTCAGGTTTTCCATGGTAGTCTAGCTTCAATTGACTCATGAATTCAACTATCAAAATTACTATAATATCTACCAAACTCCTCTCTGATTCCAATCAAATAAGACTGATACATATTGTGAAAGTTTGATGACAATATCCTGAATGCTTATTCAATCAATCGTTTAATGCCACTCCATAAATTGTCAGTCACTATCATGGTTTTCTTATTTTTCTTCAACAATATAACATCTGTTGCAAAATCACCTCGTATTGAAAATCTACATGTATTATCTTTTCGCGAAACAATTAATAAACTCATGTTCTCTCTAAACGTCTTGTGAATTGATATGTTGATAATGATTGCTTATTTTATTATGTTTAATTATATAATGATAATGACATGTTCCAAAAACTAGTACAGAAAGGTAGTCAATTTACAGGCGCAATCAGGTTGATGCAAGTTACTAGGTAACAATAATGATAAATTTAAGTTTGTACCTTCCGAAAAGATGAGGTTTCTAGGTTACTTCCTAATGACCATTTTGGACAAAATTTGAAATAATAAAATATGTGTATAATTTTATTGAAAATTTATGAAGTGTAATGTGTCAATCATATTAAATTCAACATTGAATTTCTTAGTTGATTTTTGTTCTTTAATATGTATATCACCTTATTAATTCACATATTGTATTGTATTTTGACCTTAGAGAGTTTCTTCATGGCCTAGTCGTCGGATTCCATTAATAATCATACAAATGTTAATTGCTAGTGGTACCTTAAGTTGTCTAAGTTGGATTACCAATCATAGTGCTTCTTTAGTAAGTGCAAGTTTAATTTTTTTGTTCCTTTTTCTTATATTCATGTTTGCAGTATAGAAAAGTATCATGCATAATTCACTAAGTGCAGTTTCATTAATGTATTTGACTTCAAGTACTGTTAGTACTTGTCAAAATTATCAGTATAGAGTTGTAGAGATTGTTGAGTTTCACTGAAATCATGAGCCGATAGATGTTAAACCACCATTAAAAATCACAAAGCAATGGACAGTTGTTTCGCTTTAGCGTGGTAATCCTCGGCAGTCTGCATCCACGACTCCTCACGTGGGAGTCGAACCGAGGACCTTTGATCTTGCGCGCGAACATTTGACCCCTAGACCATTGAGCCAGGATCTGACGGTGTAAATGTCTAACTTTATTCAATCCCCGATATTGACAAAATGCGGACACAGCTACTGGTATTGTGGTGTGCACTACTGATGTCAATAGATATAAATAGTATGTGTCACCAATCGAAAGTGAAATGCATGGTGGCAGAAGGTTAAGAAGATCGAGAACGAAAACGGAGAATGATTGGTGTGGAAACGAAGGAACAATCAAGTCTGAGATGATTTATTAAAATTCCGCAAATGAAGTATTTACTGTATGGTCCTCAGATTTTATTGCGAGCTTCTGTAATTTTGTGTTCAAATATATTTTGTTGTCCCGATTGGTGTTCTCGTTCACTACAGTTTAACTAGCTGTTGTAACTCCCTAGTAAACAGCTATTTACTACTTATTACAACAGAACAAAACTAATGTCGCTCGATTCAAAGAAAAATACAACGTAAGGGATGAGAATTTTTACTTGCATCAAACACATATCAAAATGTACAGTGTAATATATATCATTTTTAAATATTCAACCAATAACTAAATTTGAATGCATCAAACTGTCAGTAGTCAATATTAATTAACCAGTAATTTAACTTATCTATTTAATTTTCAAAATCAGTTTTTTCAAACTGCCTGTACTGATAGTTATAACTAAATTACTGAGTTATACGTTATGCTCCTTTCTAATAGAGACATTTTATATGAATCCATATAATACCAATTAGTTGTTTAAGCAATAAAGTGAGGAAAGCAATGCTTGAACCTACAATTCAATTACTGAAAGTCGTTTTCTTTAAGCACAAAGTCATCAATTCACTTCTTGTTAGTTAGCCATGGATGAAAAGTCGATAATCAGTCTATAAGCATGACAACTTGATAGTCTGACCTCATTTTTATTGACTAATGATGATAATGAATGGTCCACAAAATTGTATTATACAATTAATTCTTAAAAGAATTTCAGTATTGTTGGAAAATAGCATTGTTATCTCTACACATCTATTTACAATTGGAATATCTAAAAATTCATCAGTGACTACTTGCTAAATAATATAAATTAATGTGTTATTTTCAGTACCGTTTCACAATTAATCTATATTTTTATCTTCACAATTGTAGAACTTGATACAAAAAATTTATCAATTACACTTATCTGTTTGCGTTATTCGATTAGTAGATTCTTGTTAATCATGATGAATTTCTTTCTCTACATTCTAAACAAGAGTAAAATAAATCAAGTTTCAGATATGTTTTTCTCTTAGAAATCTTTTATCTTCGACAATATTTTATAGTTTAAGATCATATATATGCTCTACTAGTTACGGGTTATGAAATTGTGGTGATTAGTGAGATGGTTAGCGATCTCATTTTATAATCTTGTCTAAAGTAGGATCATGTTAAAAACGTAATGGGGAATATTTCAAAACGTATCTGATATCTCTTCCAATCTGCATGACTAGAATTACTAATATAAAATTTTTAACTTCTTTTATATAGTAATAATAGGATTGCGATCCTCAAGAACAATTCTTGGTGTAAATTACTGTCTAAATTTATCTGGTAACCACTGATCGTCCTACCATGGGACTCACCAGCAATGCGTACCCGTTCCCCTTCAAGAATTGAGCTGTAGGTCTCGCTCTGGGAGCCATAATTTCAGATCACTGAGTCGACGTCTAATTATTTATATTTCTAATTTCAATCAATTCGTGATATTGCGCGGCCATCATCCATTGTCATCAGTGATACACATCTCACTCACGATATGATTCAATTACGTTAATTACAACTATTCTTTACAACTACGGGCATTCCTGTTAAGGTTACCCATCAGTGAGCCCAAGGTCAGTGGAAGATTGCTCGAATTGAACAGTTTACGGCATTTACGAACATATTTATCAAAGTTTATTCATTTATGAAAACATTAGATAATCTGATTGGATTTTCTCTTTAACATTTTCACTTTAGACTATACTCCTCATTGTCAGCTTGGTACTTGGTATTACTGTTATCGGGACAATTGCTTTATGTGGTGTTTTAGCTGTTGAACTTGCTCCACCTGCTTTTAGCGGTACTGCACATGCGTTGAGTGCTTTGACTGCGAATTGTGAGTGATTATTTTTACGTGACTTTTTTATATGCGAATCAACCATGCAGGTCAAGAAAAAAATGAATCTTTGGTAAATGTTATTTTAAAGCATTCACCTAATAGTTTTTAGTCTAACCACTTAAACAGAAGTAGATTAATCGCGAATTCAATCAGCACCTTTCAGCTGAATTTTTCAAATATGATCGACTTGAAAATAATTATTTCACTTTACTAATTATATATTTACTCTTTAGGCAACCAGGAACTGACAACTACACACACACCTTTAACAGTACTCAAAATCACCTCAAATCACTAATTACACTAGGGTTTTTATTTTAATTTGCAATTCAGTCACGTGAGCAAATTTTTTACCTACTTATGACTGTTAACCCTCGTGTAGAGGCATAGGCCACCCACCAGTATTTTCCATCAAGCTCTGTTTTGGAAAATTCTTTCCAGTCGCCGTTTGTCCTTTTCATGTCTGCTTCCAGTTCCCGGTGCAATGTGTCCTTTGATCTTCCGCTTTTTCGCTTCCCTTCAGGATTTCAAGTTAGTGCTTGCCTCGTGGTGCCGCTTGATGATTTCCTCAATATATGTTCTATACACCTTCATCGTCTTTTCTTAATTTCCTTTTCATATGGAAGCTGGTTTGTTCTCTCCCACAGTAGAATTTTTCTGATGGTATCCGACTAACAGAGATTGAGTATCTTGTATAGACAATTGTTTATAGATACTTGTACATTTTTGATGATGGTTGTGGTAGTTCTCCAAGTTTCAGCTCCGTACATTAGAACTGTCTTGACGTTCGTATTGAAGATTCTGACTTTGAAATTGATTGACAGTTGTTTTGAGTTCCATATGTTCTTCAACCGTAGGAATGCTGTCCTTGTTTTGCTGATCCTTGGTTTTACGTCTGCATCAGATCCTCCTTGTCCATCGATAATGCTGCCGCGATAGGTATGTGAAAGATTGTACCTCTTCCAGAGCTTCTCCATCAAGTGTGATTGAGTTGCTGTTCTCCGTAATATGTTTGATGATCTTGCTTCTCCCTTGTGTATGTTGAGGCCTACTGATGCAGGGTGAGCAATTTAATGTAAACTAAACTCCGTTCGTATGTATGATTGAATAGTAATTCCTTAGATATTAGGGCAAGCTTTTCCACTTTAAACCGAAGTTTCGCATATAGAAGAATTTCCCATTTAATCGGAATGGACTCGTATGAACTCATACATTCCGTTGATGAATTTCCTACACACAATCCCTTGTTTTTGTTGTATGTTTATTCTACTTAGGCACTCCAAACTAAAATGAAATAGCTGTCTAGTGCTCACTGGTTGTCAATTATTTGTTTGCTGATTTCAGTTTGTGATAAAAAAAATTAACTTTACATTGGGTTATCTTGACGAAGCCCTCACTTAAATTATTTGTTTAGTGTTGAAAAATCCTTCAAAAATGTTGTGGGGAATTAGTCACTTAATATTTTGAATTTTGACTGTCTTTTGACATATTTCTAATTTTCCTGACTGTAGTTGAACAGATTAATTGGACTAATAAATGATTTTTCTAAAGGATTGTTCTACTTTGTTGACTTTACTATTTTATACATTTTTTCGAGAATTTATTTCAAGTCCTATGTTTTATCATGCATCAGTTAACGTAGTCGTACAAGATTACATTTATCAGTGGACAACATCAGTGTACTAAATACCTTACTTCTTAAATCAAGATTATTATCTATATATTTCAGTTGGTGCTGTCTTGGCTGGTTACCCATTTGCTCTGTTGGCTGAACATATCAACTGGTCTGGTGCCTTTCTTGTTGCTGGGATAGTATGCGGACTTTCCGTTATTCCACTTTCATGTTTTTGAGATTTCCAACTCATATGTTCTCTTACGAATGTAGATTATTCGACAGTAGTTTTTAGATGATGTGCACTCTTTTTTCTCATTTTTAACATTTCTTGGCATAACACGTCGAATATCAGATTAATATAAACTTTCCTGGTTGTGTAATTCCTTGTTCCTACACCAATTCTGCATTTCATGGAGTTACAAAACCATACTCTTGTTCCGAATTATATTTTTTGCCAATGGGAGTGTTTACACTTTATTTTTACTCAAATTCAAATAAACAATGATTTGGTGAGTTGATATTTATTTACCACTGAATATCTCAATACTCTAAAATGTAGGTGTTCCGTCCCCATTGTTTAGTTGGAATACTGTTTTCGACCAATACTATTGTTCGGTTTCAATATTGCTAAAGAAATCCTGAGTTGCTGCCCCTTACTACTATATGTGTTGCAGTAGTAAACTCATCACAAAATCAAGGATTCCATCGTTTATAAAATATAAGGAGTGGATACACCTGAGTGGTAAATACTTACGGATAAAGATCGGCTGTGTCTGATTTTAGATTCTTTGGTTAACCACTTTAGATGTTTCCGCATTCGGTCTAAGGAAATCTGTTAATGATTGGGGTACGTAGTATGTCATTGGGAGAGGACGAAAAAGTATGCAGAAAAGGTTACAGTAAACTGACTGGTGATTTCAGAAGTCAGGTCTTGGGAATTTTGCAGACCAGGAATAATAATTCATGCAAAATCGTATCCGAATTTATGGGGTTACGTGTATTGAAATTATCAAAATAATGTGATGAATATAGACAGATCTCAGTTGTTGATCCTGTACTAGAACAGCTTTAGAGTAGTAATAACTGAGGCCTGGTATGGACAGAACAGATTTGCAATTGACTACGTTTCAATGGTACATTGGTCAACAGGTTTCTTATAATTTTGGTGGGGCCTACTTCAGTATGTATCCAAATCTTAGACATTATGGTTGGAGAAATTATCTTTGTTATCAGACTTGGAACTGTATCACAGGATTCCGGATATTTTGTCTTGATGATGTACTTTAGCTGCCAAACCGTGACTATCGGATCTCATAATTCAGGTTCAGAAATCATAATCTCATGTAAACTCACAGATATGTAGGGAGCAACAACCTCACACATGTTTGTATGTACGTAAATCCCACATGCCTACGTTCTATATAACATCCCTTTTTTCCCTCTGCATGAGATACTTAATTTATCTCCCTCCGTATTTATCTATATTACGTTCATATTATTGCATTTGTCTGCACTAATTCTGGCGCCTATGTATTCTTATGGAGTTGAATCTTTGAACAACTGTTTCACCTATGCTTTAATTGACTTTTGCGCCTCTCCTTTTGGACTTATGTACTTCACAATTTTACTGTATGGACTGATTGCTTCTCTTCCTATCACTGGTACTGGGATGTTTTCCTGTTTTTTAAGGGAATATTTGTTGTTGTTACCTGGTGGTTAATTGCATACTTTTTGTATTTCTTGTATATTTCTTATTTTATAGTTGATTGCTAAACTTTGGGGCAAGGTAAATTGATTTGGGTTTTTTCTCTGGGTGGCATTTTGTTTCTAGATTGGTGTGATTGTTAAATCAGTGTAATAAGACAAAAGATAGACATTTTTCAGTGATTACAACTTTTCATATCTTAGCTATCCTTATTGTAGGTCTCAATTGGGATTTCGAATGAAGTTTGAAGAGTTTTGGAATCAGTTGTATGGTTACAGATTGCATGACTTTCTCAGATACGGGAAGTAGTTTTTAAGATTATTTGGAACCTTCTCCTCCTGGGATGAAAAAGGTCGTCTGATGGACGATTGTAGAGTACGTCATTAATTGAATGTAAGCAAATTCATAGGGGGCGAGTCCGACTTGTACTTCGGCGTAGTGCTCCCTGGATAATAGGTTATCACCTTCCCATCGACTGACGCAGGCGGTACACAGAGTCTGGACTGTCCACACACTCTGCACAAAGCAGTGGAGTTCGGGTTTATTACCCACACTGTCCTAATTCCGATCAACAGGTGGAGAAAAGTCAACTTTGAGTTGATAGGGTGATTGCGGTGTTGCAAAAAACCTCATTTTGATGCCTCTAAGTCTGATAGGGGCAAGCCAGAGCGTTAACCACAAACCGCACTGTAACCAGTGCACAGGGGTGAACACTCAAACTAATTTTCGTGTGAGTGTGAAGTGAGCACATCGTCTATGACGATGTATTTGCGTACTGATTTAAGTGCTTGATATTCATTCAATGTAAAAAGCCGCTGAACTTCACGCTAGAGTGGTCACATCTATATGTACTTAGAGTCTATGGCCATCATTATGTGTTCTGTATTTGCATGCGAGGGGAAAATTTTATATCTATGTGTACTTAAGATGAGTGGACTTGACTGCTCATTTCTTTGACTCCACGTAACTCAATTAGAGGGCTTTTAGGGCCAGTAGCACATCACTTAGCCCTAGTGTAATCTACTAAGCTAGAATTTTTCCACGTAAGAGAATAACGAACATTTTGCTGGATATTGTAAAGGACGAAAATGGCTAGTTTGGAATGATCAACACGCTCCGTGAGACTGGCGCACATAGTGGCCAGTCGTTACTGTTCATTCTCCCGTGGTAAAAAATAGTTATTTTCGTGACGTGGTTCTACGTATTCTCGAATTGTGATATGAAAGCAGGATAATGTGGCTCTCAGGTTGGGAAAACTCAGTCCACGCATTTGTCGCTTCATGAGAATTCGACCAAAGATCATACAGGATAGACGGTCATACTCTCCTCATTCTCCTTAAGTAAACTAAACGTCCGCAGATTTTAAATCTTCCGAATCGGATTGCCATCATGAATACCTTTAAGCAGTAAATATAACGTTTTACAGATATTACTCATAAAGATTTGAGATTCAGTTACATATAATCTTTAAATGATAGATAACTAGGTGACGCACGATTCCGCCCGATCTGGCAACCTGCCATTAACCACTATTTTGTATGTACTTGTGCAATGTGTCGCAAAACCGACACATTGATTTGGAACATGAGTAGTGATTGCTGGATGTTATATTTACACACTACTGTTACGATGTCGTCGACGTTCAGCACCTCCTACTGGCAAACAGTGATCACCCCATACTTCTTATGTTTTGGACACGGTTTACAGCATATGTCTGCTCCATTTCGTTCCCATGTCTAGCGCGCTAACATTCACGCGATCGTAAACTGTGCTGTCTCAACAGACTGGTCAGCCGATGCAGATGGATCGGTCGAAGGTTAATGGGATAAATTTAAAGCCACATTCGAGTTTGTAAAACCATCGTACATCTCGAGGTCAACACGTAGGCTATCACATTGCCCTCCACATATCGACAAGCAAACCCGAAACCTCCAGCCTAGGAAACAATCCTGTGACTTATTCACATCAACAGGACACGAATGATTTGACGGCGAATATCAAAAGCTCCGAGATATTTAAAGAGACAATTGCCAGATGCCGTACTGTTTTCAAAAGACAGTTAGCACATGATAGCGTACCTGCATAAAAGATTGTATTGGTCGATTAAACCCCATTACTCTTGCACGAAAATTTAGATTTACTCGCTAAATCAGATATGGTCAAACTTGAGACTTTATCAAACTATTTCTCGAAGTCTACTCTACAGATATTGTTACCAGCCTATGATCGCACTACTGAGATTCCAGCTATAGAACCTGTACGTGTGACTGAAGACTCTGTTATTCAAATGATCATTAACCTCAGTCCTAGTAACACACCGAGTACCTGATTGCGGACATCACTCAAGGGCCATTTGCGATGCTCCTCACTATATCCTTTTCCTACATCCGAATCCCTAGGGATTGGAAAGATGCTGTATTAACCCTATATTTAAATATGGAAAGGTAAAAATTGTGTTTAACTACCAATCTTTCAATGTAACCAGGATAGTAATTAAGTCGCTCGAAAAAATAAGTCGGTAAGAAACTTCTCTATAGCCGAAGACGGAGAGTGAGTGTAAACACGACACTATCTGAATAGAAAATAGTGTACTCTAAAGCTATATTTTAGGTCCCCTAGTTTTCCCCTTTGTCAATGAATTAGCGTGAATGCTTCAGTCGTCGACACTATTGTTTGCAGATAGTGTCAAGTCAGAGAACTATAAGTAGTAAGGTTGTTCATCTTGATTTCCAAGCCGACCGAGAGAAATTAGTTAAGTAGTCACATAGTTCGAGGTTACACACTAATTCCAAGAAAAGTGTGGTCACCCACATCGGGCATGGTAATAGTTATCAGTATGCTATCAACGGTACGTCGCTCCCGTGTGTGCGGAAACACAACGACTTAATGGCAATAATACGTTACGGCTTGGAAATAACTTCGCATTACAATGCAACAGCCACCAAAGATTTTCGAGCGTTGTGATCACTTCGCCGAGCTTACAAATTTTTTGACGAGTTGTTCTGAGTTTGGTATCCCACCTATGTAAGACCACACCCAGAGTACTGTATTCAAGTACCCAGTCCATGTCTTATAAAAATGTTAAGTCACTTGAGGGTATTCGGCTTGTGGAAAAGAATTGGTGAAAGGTCTTTCAAACACTTTTACGGTGAACGCTCAAGACTCTCAAACATTTTCCCTTTATCCCATTGTAGAACGCCAGGTGAATTTCGTATCTTTATTAACCATTTAGGTGTTATTATGTCTGAACTTTGTGCTCCTCTTAGCACTAGTAATCTTCAAAGCATTATCTCGAGGGTTCAAAAAACGCAATCTAACAAACTCTGAGTGTGGTTTCGTCTTCCTCATCGAGTGCCTTGCACAGGTCCATCAAACTACTATGTTACCACTGAAGATTGAGGAATAGTTATTGAAAGCGGTAATAGCGAGAGTTGCGCTACTTCGTGACGTGTTTGTTTTATTTGAAGCTATGGTAAGCGTTTCAGTGCAATATAGTCCATATTTGACTCAAATATCTAAAGCAAAATACTCTAGAAATTATTTTCATTGTGACGGAGTGGGTAGATGACCATATATTACCCCAGATATTCGTCCTACACATGGTCGTCTAAAACATCTTCCAATGCAGTTTATTTAGTGTTAATTTCCTATACCCATGATAAATAAAATCGAATAGAATTAAACTAAAAGTAATCTGTCTTGTCTACCTACCACAACCTCATTCTTCTACGTATTCTTCAACGTTTATGTAGTTCGATAAGACGATCTTAATAATGTGAGTCCATAAATCTCCTTTATGTAGCTCGCACTTAAATTAGCAAAGAAGTCTACTTGTTTCCTAGACTTTCTTGTATTTTCCGTACCTCTGTCTTACGACAACTCATCTGGTTTGCTTGCTTTTTCTCACTAATGATTATGTATTCCATGGAGAATTATGTATGTAAGTATATTCTTAATAACTGAGATTTGTTCCCTCGAAGACCGCTTCAAGTTCACGTTATGTGGATACGATTAGAAATAGAAAATCCACTTGTTCCAATGTATGTGTTTTTGTTCGGTTTTTAGATATCTAACCTATATCTTTTAAGATGCCTAGTTGTGAATAGAAAGTCCATAAATCCTTTGAAGTTAATTCAAAATGAAGATGAGCACATACTTTCTTATGCTTTTAAACTGAAACTAGCAAATTGATTCCGATGTTAGCCAACTGTAGCATTATAAGTCTCATGTAAGTACGTATATTGCACATCAAATTTATTTTGACATTCTATCACAAAATCTTACCTTTCTCAGAAAATTGTTTTCATTCAACTATTAATTTAGGTTTCTGGCATTCAAACTATTGATACTAACCATGAAGATATGATAGTAAGTTTTTTTAATATTTAAAATACTGTCGAATTCTTAGCATGATGCTCAGTTGGACTACTATGGAACAACTCTAGCAACAGCTTCGTCTGATCATTCAGTTAAAATATTTGATGTTCGTAACAAGAAACAAGTTCTTATAGCTCACTTACGAGAGTATGTTTTAAGCGATTTTGCGTTAATATTATCATAAATTTTTAATGTATTTCAACATGATTAGAGATATTACCACCATCCCAAAGTATTTATTAACTTCGGTTCGGTTTCTTGGTCAGTATTTCAGCTCGTAAACAAATGTCATTATGATCATTAGGAAACTGCTCCATTCCCTCTGCTTAGCTACTTACTTAAACGATGCAGTCACTAATACATATGCATTCATTTTACTTTATTTTGACCCATTTATTTATTACCATTTCACTCATACTTTTAAGCACTGGGTTTACGTCGGTTCTTTACAACTTGTCGAGGGATAATGATCTCCCATTTAGCAGTACATGTAGATTCTTATGTCAAATCGCACAAAACGTGCGCGAGAACTGAGATACCTGGTTTTCAGTACGTTATTTATGTATTTATTTGATCACATAAATATTGGTACAAGAGGACACCAAATATATATGCGCCACGCAAAATTTTATTTGAGTGTGGGCTATGATACTGCCCGGGTGCCCAAACCGAAGCAGGTGGTTTTCTTAGGGGGCACACTCCATTTCAGTACATGGTAATGAGTTGGACAAAACTACCAAAAAATGCTCCAACTTTATTTACCTTTGTTTTTTCATTTAAACACCTAAACATTGGTACATGGAGGCACGAAATAGATATGCACCACACAAATCATTCGTTTTATGTTAGGGCTAGAATACTACCTGGCTGCCCGAACTGAAATAGATGGTTTTATTAGGTGGCCAATCTCCGAGCCTTTTACTTACAGGAGCAACGTTGGGAGATGCAGTAACATGGTAACCGGTGGCCAACAACAGGTTCATACGCCTTTTGTTTCCCAAGGATTCTGGAGCTGATGTGCACCATTAGTTTGGAGTCAGGATTTTCTAACTCCTCGATGTGAATCCTCCATATCCATTTACTCGGTTAAAGCACCGGACATTCTCTTAGAGATGCTAGATCCCCAGAAATCACTTGTTAAACGCCTTATTTTTGTAATTTTTTGTACATTTGAATTCCCCATTTTCGCGCCAACAGCACTCATTTTTATCTTCAGATTGTATTTCTCACTTGAAAGGACTGTAGATGTCATTGGTTCGTTGGCTCTTTTAATACGCTGTTTCGTGATGTTTTCCATGGGCCTCTTTATATCATATATATATATATATATATATATATATATATATATACTCAAGTTGCCAGTCAGTCAGCTGCAACGTAGGACCAGGCACGTATATGCATCGGTCCAAGTTACCATACCGCATTAGCACAACAAAATGAACACCGGATTCATAGTAGTTAATTCAGTGGTGGTAATATATAGAAGAAAGAGTGTGTATTAGGAGATAGTACAGGAAGGTAGAATTAGTTCCTAGAAAGAAAGATTTGGAGCGATTTTAATCACTTAGTTTAAAGGAAGACAGAGAGTGTATACACCGGTTTGGGCACCCGAGCAGTATCACAGCCCTCACACAAATCAATTGAGATTCGTGTGGCACATATGTATTTGGTGCCTCCTTGTACCAATATCTATGTGTTAAAATAAATAAAAAATAAATGTATACACCGACGCCATTGTGATCGATTCTGAGCCATGTCACCAAGAGTCTCCAACCATTGGTTACAATAGTCACGCGGACCCCAACCAGGCAGTCTGCATCTACCAACATGGCTCAGACCAGAAGTTAGTGACTTCAAGCACTGATGCCACGTTTTGGTTTGGCCGCCCCTAACTTTCTTCCAATCATCCCTAACACCGGTTAGCATTGCGCGTCGTGGTAATCGGTGTTCAGGCATACGCAGCACGTGGCCCAACCATCTCAGTCGATGAAGGTTCATAACCTCATCAACTGATTTACCATCGTTCCCTAATACCTCGCGTCTAACCTCACTATTACTTACCCAAGGGGGCACCCCGGTTCGAACCGGGGACCATACCACTTTGAAAGCACCGGTTCTCGTCCGATCACCGCAGTTAAGCAACGTTGGGCCCGGTCAGTACTCAAGTTGTATGCTTGATTTGTTCGAGCTTCTGGCTGCTTTTGAAATATACCTTTCTCATCTTAACCTGGTCTTCGTTTAGTTAGCAGGCCTGGAACCCATCGGGATAGTTGAGCTGGTCTCGTCGTGGTGTTGCTGATCCTTCGTTCCGTTCGCTGATTCAGGTGATCTCATAATCTCTTCAAGCATAGTACATTCGCCTTTCATCTTCTCAATTTCGTAAACAACACCCCTGCCTCGAAAAGGCAGTGATTAGGAATTCCCTGAACGTGGCTGTATACGTTTGACTATGTGAAAGCATTTGGAGAGGGAGAGCTGACTTTTTACACCCTTGGCCATATCAGGGTATTTGGGGGCATTCCATTTGATTCAAGACACTGGGATCAAGAAGTCTGATTTCAGTGTAGTAACCTCTTAAGTTGGCAGCACGTTAGTAACACCCAAAGACGCCTATGAGGATTGGCAGGATTTTTCGAGGGACATTTCATCTGGTTTGTGTTCTCAGCAATGTCGATCAGACTGTCTTGTCCCTAAGCCAGTGACTACCGTTATGCCTAAATTAACAACGCGGAGGCCTGTAAGGAACCCCAGCTTTTGAAGCACTAAGCTTTAATATTTAAAAAGTCAAAAGTCATCCTAATAAAAATATTCGTTCATAATTCGACAGCATCTTCAACACTTTTCACTGTATCTGTCGGTGACTTACATGACACCAGGTCATATATACGCAAAATACATGATTCCGTATGGTCACTCGTATACAGTTAGAGTTTTTTTTCTTATTCAGTAGTATTTTTTAATTTGGTCTAGTTGCTTACAATTTCTTTGCCACATTTATCCATGACATAATTTACATTTGGAAATTTTTAGTGTAAACTAATCTTTGGTTGTCTAAACGTATTTCATACACATACTTTCATCTGTTTTATTTACTAATCATTTTCATGTAGTCATCAAGGACCTGTTTGGAGTTTAAGTTGGTCCCATCCTATGTATGGGAGTTTATTGGCCTCTTGCGGTTATGATCGTAAAGTGATTATCTGGCAAGAAATCAATGGACGATGGGGAAAAGTCTTTGAATATGCTGAACATGCTAGTTCAGGTTAGACATAACCACAATACTTTGAAACTATATATAATCGTGTACCAGTATGAGATGACTAGTATCACAATTGTAGTATATTTTAAGCCATCAGTAAGTTGACGATTCGGTGTTTTCAATTGTTTAAGTAAGAACTGTCTCTCATACAAGTCCATGAAGACCAATGGTTTGGAAAGGTGATTCAAAATATTTTTTTCATAAACCTAATCTCACATGTTCGCCACTATGAGGTAGTTAATATGTTAGTGATCTCGAAGATCCTAAAACTGACATAGTCATAGGTGTTTTATCCAAAACTTTCGTGATTGAATGTCAGCACTTATTTTTTGTACATAACAGCCCTCGTCATATTTTTGGCTAACACAAGTGTGCATAATTTCTTATATTATCTTGGCCATAAACATTCCAATCACTTTCAGTTATTTTTTGAACTTAAGATTCTGTACCGTCTACGATATTTCTCAAACTATATGTCACTTTATAATTGTCCTTTTTAAAGTGTTCTTACAATTTAAATCCGACTAATCACCACAAAATTCAAAATCAACACATATATTATGTTTAAAGTTGGTTTATAATAATTTAATCCTATGTTTGTAGCGCCGCGCAAGCCACACTTGCTTTTAATGCATGCTTAATATCTTTTTAATAATGCATCCATTAACTGCAAGCGAGTTAATAAATTGATATTTATGTATGGACACTGCAGTAGTAAATTTTTCCCTTCAAATAAACTTTTTCCTTAACTTTACATAAAATGGATGGGAAATTATTTTAAATGAGCACTAATCATCAACAAAGCTGACTCACTGATTCCTGGAACTCGTAGTCACTTTTACCAAAAACAAGTAGAAAGGTAATAATGTGAGCAAAAATTCTCTTCAAAGCCAAAAATCTTAATTGTACGTACGAATAACGTTTAAGTTGAGGAAAGTTTTAGAACGCATGGCAAATTTTATAACAATTTATGCTTTCCCATAATCAAATTAGTAAAGAACTTAGTAATCCCAGGTAGGTTTTTTTTCTAGTATTTACTAAAGGTGCAAATAAACTCGGTCGTCGAAGTTTTGTGTTACAAATAAATGACTTAATTCAAACACAATACTTAGACATTTCCTTAAACTTAACTTCATAATATTTGCATTTGGTTAGCTCTACAGCTCTTAGTTTTGTTCTCCAGAGTCATCCACCGTTTGTTTTTTATTTAATAGTTAATTGCGTTTGTTGGGCTCCTCATTCTTATGGATTAATGCTAGCATGTGCCAGTTCAGATGGGACAATCTCCATACTTATATCAGACGAAACGAGCTCTTGGCGTGCCTTTCGAATCACAGAAGCACACTCCGTAAGTGTTAGTATCAGTTGTGCAGTTTCATGACCTCCTTGAATTTTTACCAAGTCGACCCCGTCATTGTTTAAAGCACAAAAGTTGGCATTATTATTGAAAAGCCTTCGATATTACTTTTCGGAAACATAACAAACTACTAGCAAACACTTTAGTAGTACAAAACGCATTTTGTTCAAAATGGATTCCGTAAGCATCGGCCGTGCATAGACCGAATCAGGACACTATGGATCATCGTTGAACAATCAACTGAATGGAACTCGTCACTATACATCAACTTATTGATTATGAGAAAGCATTTGACAGTGTGGATTGGAGAACATTATGGAACCTTCTTCGACACTATGGAGTACCTGGGAAGATGTTCAACATCATACGGAATTCATACAATGGACTACATTGCAAAGTCGTGCATGGAGGACAGCTGACGGATACATTCCAAGTAAAGACCGGAGTCAGACAAGACTACTTACGCTCTCCCTTTCTCTTTCTTCTGATCGTTGACCGGATTATGAAAACCTCCACATTTGACGGGAAGCATGGAATACATTGGACAGCTCGGAATCAACTAGAAGATTTGGATTTCGCAGACGACCAGGCTCTTCTATCCTATACACAAAAACAAATGCAGATAAAGTCAGCTAGTGTAGCAGCAGTCTGTGCATCGGTAGGCCCCAACATACACAAGGGAGAAGCAAGATCATCAAAAATATTACGGAGAACAGCAACTCAATCACACTTGATGGAGAAGCTCTGGAAGAGGTACAATCTTTCACATACCTATCGCGGCAGCATTATCGATGGACAAGGAGGATCTGATGCAGACGTAAAACCAAGGATCGGCAAAGCAAGGACAGCATTCCTACGGTTGAAGAACATATGGAACTCAAAACAACTGTCAATCAATTTCAAAGTCAGAATCTTCAATACGAACGTCAAGACAGTTCTAATGTACGGAGCTGAAACTTGGAGAACTACCACAACCATCATCAAAAATGTACAAGTATCTATAAACAATTGTCTATACAAGATACTCAATCTCTGTTAGTCGGATACCATCAGAAAAATTCTACTGTGGGAGAGAACAAACCAGCTTCCATATGAAAAGGAAATTAAGAAAAGACGATGAAGGTGTATAGAACATATATTGAGGAAATCATCAAGCGGCACCACGAGGCAAGCACTAACTTGAAATCCTGAAGGGAAGCGAAAAAGCGGAAGATCAAAGGACACATTGCACCGGGAACTGGAAGCAGACATGAAAAGGACAAACGGCGACTGGAAAGAATTTTCCAAAACAGAGCTTGATGGAAAATACTGGTGGGTGGCCTATACTTCTAGACGAGGGGTAACAGTCGTTACTAAGTAGTTCATCATATTCTCAATTATCTTGAAGCTGACCTCCCTCCTTAATCATGACCGCCGTTGAAGTATTCCATAAACAATCTACATGCACCCAATTTATAACTTATCCAGTTTCAGTTGAAATCTCAGTCAGTCAGTCAGAAACAACGTGGAACTTCGTACGTACGTACATCAGTTCGAGTTGCTATCCCACATTAGCACAGAGATTCAGTTATCGATTCAAATCCCGTAGTGGTAGTGGTAGTGATAGAGAAAATTAGGGTTTGATTATGTTATTTAAGGAGTATAGTCCAGTGGAATAGATTTGGAAAAACAATAAAGGACATGAAGAATACAGAAGATTAGAGTTTGGGAGAACACAGAGAGTGGATGCACCTGCGCCATTGCAAACGATTTTTAGCCATGTCATTCAAGGTCTCTAACCATCGATTGCTATCATCTCGTGGTCCCCAACCAGGTAGTCTACATCTACCAACATGGCTCAGTCCACTTGTCAGTGACTCCATGGATTTGTGCCATGTTTTGGTCTGGCCGCCCCTAGCTTTCTTCCAACCTACTCCTACACCAGAAAACATAGCACGTCGGGGCAGTCGGTGGTTGGGCATGCGCAACACATGTCCCAGCCATCGCAACTGATTAAGTTTCACTACTTTATCAATTGATTTGCCATCCTTACATAGTACCCGTTTCCTAACAACTGCACTACTTACTCGGTGGTCCCAGGATATACGAGCAATGTTTCGAAGACACCTATGATCAAATACTAGTGACCTACGAATATCCTCTACTCTTACTGGTCATGTTTCACTGCTATATAGTAGGACGGAACGAACTGCTGCACAGTAAACACGTCCTTTGGTTGATAGACGGATATCTCGCCTACGCCACAAATGACGCAAGTTGGAAAAAGCTAGTCGAGCCTTCTGTATCCGTGCTGAGATTTCGTCACACACCAGACCACAAGGGCTGATGAGACTTTCAAGATAAGTGAAGCGGTCGACACGCTCAACAACTTCACTTCCTAGCACTAGTTCGGGTGCCGATGCAACCCAATCCTGAAGCAACATTTTGCATTTCGAGGGAGAAAATCGCATGCCGAACATGCTTGCATTGTTGCTTAGAGTGGTCAGCAAACTCTGCATTTTGTCAGCGTCTTCACTAAATAGAACTATGTCATCGGCATATTCTAAGTCAACAAGTGGATCTCCCGGTAGAACTTCAACTCCTGGAAATTTAGATGAGGAAATTGTTATTTCTAAAAGCACGTCAACGGCAAAGTTAAACAAGAATGAAGAGAGTGGACAGCCCTGACGAACACCACTTGAGGTAATCAATTCTGATGACAGTTCGCCATAAGCTCTCACTCGACCAGTTGTGTTCGAGTAGAGAGCCTTTATGAGGTTAATGTACTTCTTTGGTACTCCTTTCAGTGACAAACACTGCCATAGAACCTCACGATCAACAGAGTCAAATGCCGCCTTAAGGTCGAGAAATACTACCATTGTGGGGCGTCTGAATGTGTGTCTATGTTGTAGGACCTGACGTAGTGTGAATATTTGATCTATACAACCTCATCCATGTCGAAAACCAGCCTGGTTTTCTCTAGTCTGCATTTCACGAGCTTTGGTTAGACGTCGAAGTATTATTGAAGCTAATATTTTAGACACTATATTAGTCAAACTAATTCCTCTGTGATTGTTACAGGAGGACTTTTGTCCTTTCTTATAAACTGGCACAATCAGTGATTGAGACCAGTCAGATGGGATTACGTCCAGTTCCCAGATTCTATCTAAGACCTCAATCAATCTCGCTGGTAATACTGGACCGCCATCCTTAAAAATCTCAGGGGTAAACCTGTCAGGGCCTGTTGCTCTCTCACACTTCAGATTTCCTATAGCTTTTTCAACTTCGTAAAGAGTCGGAGGATTCACATTAACTTGCCATTCAGGTAGATTGGAGATCGTGGGAAACCCAAGTGTGGCTGAAGGCCAGTTGAACTGATCCCTAAAGTGTTCTGCCCATCGATCCAATCTCCTGGATTGAGAATGAATAATATGTCCATCTTTCTCTAAGATTGTTTCGCTAACAGTTGGGTTCCTAATACCGGTTCCCTTAACAAGCCTGAACAGTTGCCTACTGTTACCTATTGCCGCTGCCTTTTCCATCTCTCTTGCTTTCGCTACCCACCACTGTTCACGATCATTGCGTAGGCTTCTAGTCAGCTTACGCTTAAGCTGACTCCGCTCTTCGTTATGTTCAGAGCCAGATGGAATGGCTGATATCACTTCCCGGCTGCCCACATCGTGGTAGGGTATTTCTTGAGGAACCTGAAAAGGAAATCGAATTAGTGTTGGTCTTAATGACCTGGGTGCGTGACCGCAGAGCCCAAGGGACAACTACTTGAGGCCGGTCGCGCACGGCCTTTTTGTGAGAGGTTTTTAATGTGTTAGCTCCGTTCTTCAAAGGGCCTTACCGCCGGAGACGGAAATCCATGGGGTAAGGTGAGGTGTGACATTTTTAGGGTCAACCTTTTCTAACCCCTTCCTTCCTTGTGAGAAGGCAGCATCGCTGCAGATGCTGGTTGTCCGAGGGAAACACCTTACTGCTGTCACACCCCTGTACAGTCAGCAGTACGACTTCGCCCTCAGACCTTGAGTTGCTGCTTTTAGTCTTACCGTTCTCCAATCGACCTACCTGGCATGCCAGAACCTGCAGGAACATGTGTTCCAGCCAATATAGCTCGGTTGGGTCATCACGATAGGCAAGCCCGACCACCACGTCAAGGTAGCAGCTACGGTCGGGCGACTGCTGCGGATAAGACCGAATATAAATACTATAGAACCGGTTTAAAGATCTCAAGATTCCTAGCCATCTCATTTTCCTAAGAACTTTGGTCCTTCATAAACTTATTCATCATTATTGTTGCCATAGCTGTTTGATTTGGTATAACTTCTTCACGGATCCAAACATACCATCATTCCCTTGTGGATGTTTGTACATGTATTAGATGTACTACCGTCTACTATATATAGTAAGGATTCAATCTCTGCTTTTGATTCCACAATTCTATGTATAGATAAAATAAAATCTAGTTGACCAATGTTAAGTAGTGATTTACTTTTTTTCACACAAAATATCATGTATGTAAATGCTTCACTTAAAAAAACATTACTGAACTCTAGGTCACTGCATTGTGTTTTGACAAGAAGAATCTCAAAAATACTCTCGAAACTGTCAATACATTCCTTATAGATATCAGCTCACCTACTATTTTGATATATATTGATATAAAGTTTTCGTTGTCATTATGATCCAGTACGTATAAAACGAATTCTTGTTTATCTGGGATACCATTATAATTACTATAATTGAAAGTGAGATTTTCCCACATAGTTGACAAGTAATTTTTCCGTCATGCAAAATCCTAATTATGTTAAATAATTTGGTAATATAGCTGAAGCTCTGGTGAGATCGAATTCCTGACCAATCCACTCGTTTTTCATGCTACTACTAACACTAGTATTCTAAAGATTTTTAATTCAAACTGAGTTAGTTACCTATAATCACTGCATTGAATAGTTTAACTGCTCTGCAGCTATCCTCCAGTTGTCACTTTAACCAAGCGACCTGTATGGGATGTCATATCATCTTTCCGACTCAGTGAAATAAAAATAGCCATAGCTAATCTATAACGAGAGGGGGCATAAGGCTCTGTTGAATTAGCCCATGAGATCTCGAGGGATAGTGGTTCAGTTTTAGCTGTTAGATTGACTGTGATATTAGCTAGAATCTGGGGACGGAACGTAATTTTTTTTTACTGGTTTCGATCGTTGATTGTTCCAGTCTATAAGAAAGAACAAAATTTCACTTGTAAAAACCACAGACGAATCAGTCTGACTGACAGTATCTATAATATTAGCATCATTCATCATCCAACACCTAACTAAAGCTCGTGAAGAACAAACCCGAGAAAACCGGGCTGTTTTCAGACCTGAGCGTGGATATGTTGACTAAATATTTACCTTTCACCAGGTTCTGAAGTATAAACTTACCTACTGAATCCTGGCCACTGTTGTATTTCTCGAACTTAAGGCAAGGTTAGAATCAGTAGGTCGACAGGTTTTATGCCAATGTCAGTCATCGAAAGGCATACCAAAGAAGTACATTAACTTTGTACAGACCCTCCACTTGAACACCACTGCTCGAGTCAACTTTTGGTGAACTGTCACGGGAGTTTATAGCTTCAAGTGGTATTCGTCAGGGTCGTTCTCTTCCTCTATTTTTATTTAACTTTTTACAGATATTCTTTTAGTGATAACGCTCATATCGTTCGTTCCCAGAACCGATCTTCTACCACGAGATTCTCTTTCTGGCTTTGAATACCTAGATGATATAGTTCTATTCGGCGAAGACTGAGAAATATCGAGTCCTCTGGTCGCCTTAAGCAACGATGTTAGTATGTTTAGGCTACGTTTCGCATTCCCCATTTAAATTCAAATTGCTGCTTTAGAGTTGGTTTGTATCAACTCCTGAACTATTGATAGGGAGTGATGTGGTTGAACGCATCGATCACTTAACCTGTCTGACAAAATCGTGTCACAAATTCAGAAGACTTAATGGGTATTCGCACACTTCTGTCACTTGTGCCATGGTGGAGATATCTGTCTGCTGGCCGAACGACGAGTTTACTATGCAGAAGTTCGCTCCATTCTACTTTATGGGTGTGAGAAATGGCCTCTAAAATAGAGGATATCCGTAGGTTACTAGTATTCGATCATAGGTATCTTCGAACCACTGATCGTACATTTTGAAACCATCGCATTGACAGTTCTGAGTTTATGGTCAGAGTACTAGGTAATTATGGTACATTGACTAAGATGGTTAAGAAACGTATTACATATTCCATCCAATCAACTACCTTGACGCTCAATGATGGTTCGTATAGGAGTGGGTTTGAAAAAAGCTAGTAGTCAAATCAAATTATCGTATCAGTTCCTGAAGAAACAGACTACTGTACCGAGCCATGTAGGTTAGTATAAACCACCTTGTTGGGGTCCACTTGATTTTCGTAACCAATGGTTGTCATGGCTCGAAATTGTTTGCAATTGGGCAGATTCATTCACTATTTGTCTTCCCTTAGATTTCACGTTTGTGAATTTCCTGTAGATTTTTATTCCACTGATTTGCGATTTCTTGAATCGCATTTTGTATGCTTGATCTTTTCTAATACTACTAATAATGACCCTATCTCTACTGCTGTGGGATTTGTCTGGCCGTAGCTCATTGGCACAGCCAGACGGATTTGTGAATTCGAACCGATGTACATATTTTCCAGGTTTTATCTTGTGTACGACTAACTACACTACATGTTCATTAAGTTTGTAGTCATATCAAAAAATATCCGTACCTTCTAATCAGTTTTATGACAAATACCTAGTAAATCTTGTATCCTTATCAAACATGCATTATAAATTAAGTTATTTTTCTATTGTTTAAGGTTGGTGTTAATAGCGTGTCTTGGGCACCCTCCATAAATGCTGAATTTATATTCAATCCCACGTTGGCAACAATAACATCAACAAATACTATGATTCCTCCTATCAAAAGACTAGTTTCTGGTGGATGTGATTCTTTAATTAAAATATGGCGGTAAGCTTTTCATTTATTGTTACTTTCTTGTTTTTTCTTTTAATATTTTCCAAATCAGTAGTGATGTTCAGTTTTATATCCCAACCCCTTTTAAAATTACTCTGCACTCTACTATCCAGTTTATTAAACTAAGGCATTCACAAATAGGTTAGCTAATAATTTCGTCCAATTTATGTACGCTTCAGAGCTAATATTATTTTAACATTAGAGAATGCGCTTACACTGTATCTTTGTAGTCAAATGTTATTGTCAGTAAATAATGTTTGACTTAGTTTTTGAACTAGCTTGTTGTTTGTTTGGGGACGTTTGTGGCGATTGTAGAATTTTCTTAGCTTAAATCGCGATCTGATCATCGACCACCGTTGAAAACCTGGGAACACTACAAGATCGCTTCGTTCCCTTATGGTACTCCTCACCAGTGCTCATTTGGGGATCAAACCTATGTTTTGTATTAATCGGTTAGTCACAAACTAGGTAAATAGTAGAGAACAAATGAAATCGAAATGAAAAGTATAAAACTATGTGAAACAACTAAGATTTGTAAGTTAATAAATGTGTATCAAATTTTGAGTTATGTTACATAGCCAACTGTATCCGCATTAATAGTTTTAATGGTTCAATCTGGATATTGTGGAAACAATTTCTGTTAATTCACTTCACCTGCTACTCTTCAATAGACTGCAACTTGGGTCAACCAGTCAGAGAATAACCATCCTGAGAATAGAGTGATGCAAACAGATCGCTTTCAATAAACATCATAGTTGTACTTAGAAAAGGGAGATTACATAAATCCGATTTCTAGTTACAGATAGGAATTGTTTTAGTGGCCAGTGCAAAAATGCTTTACATTTCAACTGTACAAATTGCTTTTGACGTTGTTATTTGTATAGGTTGTACTCTATTACTTTTTATTTCTCTTCGCATCATATAGTTTTCTCTTATTTTGCAAATATTTTTTCACTCCATTGTAATTTCGTTTGATACTTTACACATATCTTAGTTTGTTGTTATGCTCATCATTACTTCGTGATGTAATTGTAGACTTGAATTTTTCTCATAATTTCAACGATCATATCGTGATAATATCCCTCACAGGAAATATAACTTACTTTTTAAATTACAGTGAGAATAATTTTATTTTTGTCATTCAGGAAAAAATGTAGTATGACAGTATTTTCGTATTATTTTCCAATGTGAGGGAAACTTTGTCTACTGGCTTACTAGAGCATATGTTACTCATTTTGAGTTAACTAAAAAAAGTGGGTTAGGATTAAACCTCAGAAAAATCTATTCAAACCAGCTTAAAAAGTCATCAAATGTTCTTCGGAACGATATTTTAAAAACTTAATTCAATTTGAAATGGTTTGGATCATTCAGTTTTTGATATTTTTGGCTGAAATTTGATCCGTCTTGGTTGGCATTTGGGCTTCCTGTGTGGGTCGCCTTGACATAGCCATTGTGATAAAACTCGATATAGATAAAATTGAATAGATGCAGGTACATCTAACTGTTGAGTTCCGAATGGGACGAAATAGACGTCCTGTATCCCACCGCTAGCCACATTCCATACATTCTTTGTTTAAAACCTTTTTTCTCCTAACAAGCTTCTGCCCCTACATTGACATGCCAGATCCCGAAATGTGAGTATCATCCAGCTAGCAGTTCAAGTCTAATAACTCTTAAGCAAATGCCTTCATGTAAATCAGTTGTGCCTAATTATTTCTGTCTTATCAGAAAGGGGTTTTGTGAAGATTGTAGTAATTTAATAGTTGAATTCATGAGTCAGTTAAAGCTAGATCACCATGGAAAACCTGGAAGCACTAGCCGACCGTTTCGTCCTAGCATGGGACTCCTCATCAGTGCGCATCCACGATCCCGCTCGCGGGATTCGAAACCACGACATTCGGTCTCGCACGCGAGCGCTTATATATATATATATATATATATATATATATATATATGTTTAGATAATATTGTCTACACCCTGTCTTACCGTGTGCTTATTTCACCCATAACATACTAAACTGTCAGTGTTTGTCATAGACACTGAAAATACTACCACCATACTGATTGTATCAAATGAATGCTACGCCGTTCAGGTCATCATTTGTTAGACTAGAAACTCAATTGTTTTAATGTATAGGTCAGTTGTTATTTTACTTTTGTTGTTTTGTGTTCTCTTTTCCATTTTTTGCCTGAAATAACCATGACCTAGCACAATTTTTATACAGTAGGAGTGGTGGTGTCAGTGTTAACGATGATGATGGTAGTTTGTTTAACACAGATTGAGTGGAATTTCTCGTCTAAAATCGGAGTCAATCTAATCTAATTAAAGTACAGAAAAAAAATCATTCATAAGATATTTAGTCGCTAAGGCATTTAGAATGTCTACCTATACACCTTCACTCATATACACCTACTTAGTCATCGTAGGTAGCATTGTTTATCATTTTATTGTTTTCCGCTATACTTATGTATATTAATATACCAGTTTTGTGATGTGTTTTTTTTTATGTTCATCTGAGTTATTCATGTGCATCGGTTTATTCATTGTAAATAATTCACTCACCAACCCCGTCTTTCCAATGTTGTGATGTCTTAAAATATAAAATGCTTGTAAGTTAATCTAGTGAATGTAATTATTAGGAAAATAATTTTTGTTATTATATCGACTTGCTGCTGTAAATGAATTGGTGGGGGAAAAGAAGATTGTAGTTTTTGTTGGTGTAGCTTTATACCTAAGCTGAATGCATTATCATTTCGAGGTTTGTGTGACTAAAAACAACACGTATTTAGTGAAACTGATAGATTAATATCTTACAACAACATGTCAAATGAACACCAAAAAATACCTATCTTCAGACTAACCACATAAACTATAATCCCAAAGATTAGCAGCTATCATTGTACTTTCAATCAAATCAAAATACCAGATAACTTTATCCAGATGAGATATTTAGCAATTGATTGACAGCATTATAGAATAATATTACATCATTAACTGACTCGTGGTCTGAGTCACTCAATGAATATGATTAGTGACGACAATTGCTTCGAGTCAATCGCAGTCGTCCAAATCTATTCACGCTTCATCTCACAACTTTTTCAGTTTCCAATATTATTTCATACTATTTATCTGGTGAATCCATTATTTCTTCTGGAGCCATATTCTGTGTGGAGTTGCTATTACTGGCACTATCGTTACGTTTGATCTTGGTCAATTTGGCTTCCATAAAGTCATCTCCAGAAAATATATTATTGTATGACAAACATTTTAGATTATAAAACTATATAAGGTTAACGTAACTTGCAAACTAAAATGGTTCGTATTTTGTTCTTGTTAGAGTTGTAGGTATCGTTGTCACTTCACTGTTGCGTACACCGTGAAAGAATATTTCTTTTCATGAAGTATTAAAATAAAAATCAGTTATTAGTCGCGATCCTGTCAACACGAAAGTGTAGCTTTACAACCTAAGAGAGACATCTGCTTGTGTCTGGTCACATAGTCAGTCAGTCATTTACAATGTAGAAGCAGACATTTATATGCATTAGTCCAAGTTGCCATACTTCATTAGCACAACAAGATGAACACCGAATTCATAAATGTAGTTACTTCAATGGTAGTAATATATATACATAAAGATTGTATACAGGGAGTAAGAATTAGTTCGTAGAAAGAAAGTGATAAAGTAATTTTAATCTCATCGCTTAAGGGAAGACAAAGAGTGTATGCACCCTACGCCATTGTGATCGATTCCGAGTTATCATCCAGTCTCCAACCAGTGGTTATGATAGTCACGCGGACCCCAACCAAGTAGTCTGCATCTACCAACATGGATCAGACCAGAAGTTAGTGACTTTATGAACTGATGTCATGTTGTGGTTTGGCTGTCCCTAACTTTCTTCCATCCGTCTCCAACACTAGTCCGCATTGCTTTTAGTCACATAACTTTTTGTAATTAGTTTGTTATGTATTTCCATACTCAGACTTTACAGGGGACATCGGGAATCTATGCAGCAAGGTGAGATGTGCTGGTTGTAGGTTCTACCTCTCCTAACTTTCTTTCATCGTGGGAAGGTAGTATTACCAGAGATCCTTGTTATCTGTGAAGAATACCGTGCTACTACTATAACTCAGCACAGTTAGTAGTGTGATTTCACCCTCGGACCTTAGATTTTTCATAGGACCTGTTAATCAAAACTAACTATTGAAACAAAACAGTGTTTTGAAAAGAGTGACGATCCGTATTTCGTATATAATATAATTATTCAATGTTCACTCAATCAACCATTAACAAAATGCAATGCTAAAAAAGTTGACTCAGTCATGTTGGATAGATTGTATTAGACATCTTTAAGAGAGACATGAAATTGGATCTACTACGATAGTGAGATTATTGGTTAATTGTCAAAACACCTGATTTTCAGTCATTGAATAATTGCACATGACAGACTCGCTTTGTAGACGTCACACTAATAAATGTAGCTCATACTTGAGTGTACTTCGTTAGTAAATTAAAACAATTTTCACTATCCATTTTTATTACTACTACTATTTTGTTATGAGACAGTGTTCCAAACAGTTTATTGCTGTTGATTTTTTAACTTAATATTCCATGTTTTCTTAAACACAGTATAAATTCATAAATAATCATGACCACTTTGAATTGGTTGCATAATAATTACTTGCCAGTTTTCTGATAATTCTATCATAAACACCTAACAGGCTTACTGGCCTCTTGTCTTATATCATTGCCAGGCTTTGACAAGAACTATTTATTAGATATGGCTTCAAATTATTCTGTGTTTGAGAGGGAAATTTTTTTTACTGTTTTATTCAGTTTAATCATAACCTGTTTTTCAGATGAATTACAAAAAAGTTGTTTTACAAACATAGAAATATACATATTATCTGGTTTTTGTTTCGTGTTGATTTTTTAAAAATAAAAGTCTAACTTCGTTGGTGTATTTGCCTGAAAGTTTATATATAATATGTCTGT